CTACTGGTCTTAGCCCCTCTTCCCACCTTTAATTATGGTACTAAAATAGACGAAAATTTGAGCCCCCGTTTCGCGCCGGTCGTATGCTGCAAAAACGTTGTGGCGAGGTCAACTCCCTTGATGCCTCTCTGCGGGGGTCAATCCCGGTCTAACCCTCCGAACGGTCGGAAATGGCAGTCCCTAGACACGCCGAGTCCGGTCACCCATCTCGCCATCTTTGAGGGTTACTCATAAAGCTCAGTGCGCCCCAAATCATGGGACCCTGAGTTCCCCTAATTTTTGCTGCCTGGTCTTACGAGACTTCCATCAAAACACGGATCTGGCACTGAGCCTAAGTCGCAAAACTGCAGATCTCTGGCGGCGCACTGCCTGTGGCCGCCTGACAACGTGACTTCTCTCTCTACAAGGAGTATGCCACTGATAGATATCCTGATTTCAAGGATTATCCCTGGTCGGAGAAGAATGAGGCCGTGGYTGAGGAAGTGAAGGAGATACGGGACATGGTGAAGGGATTAACGAGACAGGTTACAGAGATTGTGACCGCCACAGGGGCCACGACCTACCGGGACAAACCTGGAGGGCCCTATTCACTTCGCTGGGACCGTAGGAACAACGATCCCTGGAGGAGTGTCGAGGACAGAAATCCTCGGACGCTGATTGATTATCGTACGAGGGGGAGAGAGAGAGACGATGAATTATGGCGACATAGGGACGATGAGATAAACCGAGACCGCAGAGATCGCGAGCTGTTTGTGCAAGGAGGCTAGATGATTACCCCCGAAGCCCTCGCTATGAGGCCGATCGGGGTAGAGGCGACTCCCGCGGCCGATGGGAGAGGGACGGCAGATATGAGAGATCGGACCGGGCTGGATAGAGGGACGACAGATACGAGAGGTCGGGTCGAGATGGCTACAGAGTAAGTAGATATGAGAGAGGAGATTGGGACTGGGAACGACAAGATGGGTCACGCGGACGGTTTGAGCGCGGGGGAGATGCGAGAGAGTGGCGCGATGAGTTGCGGGGATGGTACAACCGAGGGGACCGACGCGATGAGTCACGAGGACGATATAACTCGGGGGACAGCCGGGATGATTCGCGAGGGCGATATGACCAAGGAGGGTTTGGAGGAGACCGGCGCGACGATCCGTGCGGTCGGAATGAGAGAGGGGGATATGGCGTCTCATCAGAACCATTTCCCAAGTCGCCTGACCCCAAGGCGGCCAGGAGTTCGATCTCTAGAGGCGCAGACGACAAGGCATCTACTCCGAGGAACTCATGCGTCTACTGTAGAGGACAAGATCATATCAAGAGGGATTGCCCGAACCTCAAATGGGCAATAGAAGAGGGACTTGTCGTGCTTGACGACCGCAAGTACGTCAAGTGGGCAGATGATCTCGGAGATGTATCGATGTTCCCTTCGATGAAGGAGAATGTCGAAGCAAGGAGAATAAAGACGAGTAAAGGAATGGAGTCGGTCAGGAGCCAGAGCATCAAGATAACCTTTGAGGGGGATATCGCGACCACACCCATAAGGGTGGTAGCCACCAAGTCGGTAAGAGGATCTACATCGAAGAAGACTGATACGGATTACGTGATGGCGGAGAAGGACGGACAGCGGGTCGATGGAGAGGAGGTTATCCTTTCGCCGCGAAAGCGGGGAGTGAAAAAGTTCTTAATGAAGAGTTCGTTGGACGAGATTGACACGGTCGAGCCACTGAGGCGGGCTCTTCGGCAACCCATGCAGTGCTCTATTCTGGAGTACCTGGCGGCATCGAAGCCGGCTCGTGATGAGTTACAGATGATCACGCGGAAGACTCGCATACCTCTATCGGAGGAGGGTCAGACCCCTAAGGCGGAAGCTTCTAAAGTAGCAGTAACGGGGGTGACTGCCAGAGCGGATCGCATGACGACAGTCCTTCTCGATGGGATGGAAGGTGTGCCTCCAGACAAGTTTTATATACTTGGTAGCGGGGCCGTGGAGACGATTATAAACGATGAAGCAGTACTCGATGCTGTGGTTGATAACGGCAGTGAGGCTGTCATCATAGACGAGGACGAAGCGGTACAAGTTGGACTGGGCCTCGATAGGTCATACCTATTCGAGATAGAGACGGCTGATGGGAGAAAGCAACWGATCACTGGGGTTTGTCACAAGGCAGCCATAGAGGTCCAAGGGGTGCGAGTAATCCTGCCTGTCTTTGCAGTCAAGAACTGCAGCTCCGTCCTGCTCTTGGGTCGAAC